CTGAGCTTCTAAAAACTGGTCTGCCAGCTCAAGCATGTCTCCCAGGGATTCCGCCCTCCTTTCTTTCAAATATAATGCCAGGTTAGAACCGCATCCATGCAAAAACCTCTCTCTAATCAACAATGCGCGGAGGGACTCGAATTCTGTCTCAGTTTTGGACAGCTCAACCCATCTATCGAAGTAATGTCTTAAGCGAGCCGCGTACTGTGTTGCTGTTTCACCCCCTACTGGCCTCTCCTTATTAAACTTGTCTCGGAACCCATCCGCCGTGAAGCGAAAGCGCTTCAGGAGGGCGGTTTTAACCTTGGTGTAGTCCGCTGCATCTGTAGGTGGTAGCCTGCCATAAACACTTGGCGCCTCTCCTGTAAGACATGTTGAAAGCGCCGTCGCCCATTGGCTTTCAGGCCACTTTTGCCCTCTGGCGATGCTCTCAAACCGGCGTATAAACGCATCTAAGTCGTCCCTTCCTTCGTCAAAGGTGACGAGCAATCTACCTGCGTGTATTCTTAAACTCGGCTCCTCCCCGGCATCGCCGTGCTCACTTCTGGATCGGCTCACACTGCTATACTCTCACTGAGGCGAATCTTTAATTGCAGTAACTGCACTTCCCGTTCTCCGGCTTCCCTAGCCGATTCCCTTTCTTTTTCCTTTTCCTCCCGGGCCAGTGCCCGCTCTTCTCTGGCTAACGCCTGCGCCTGTTCCTGCTGCTCCTTAACCCATTGTCTCAGTTCGGCGCCCTCGAGGCCTAACTGTTTGCCGTGCGCGATTGACTTATCAAAATCCATACACTCCATACTGCAACTGTCACTATAATGCCACTATAAAAACAGCGCAATCATATCCAGGATGCAACCGCTTCAACTGTGCGGCTCTATCACTACGCTGTCCGCACGGTTCTCGTTCACCCCTCACTGTCTTACTCTTGTACGGAACGTTCTTGTTGCGGACGCCAGTTTTGTTACAAGCTGCCACTCTGGCGTCGCCAGCGCGAAGTCGGCGACGGGAATGACAGCAGGTTAGTTTGTTCCGTACGCAAGCAGACACAGGGAAGAGATCAGAGACGTGAGAAAACAAAACAACATTACTCTAGTGATATTGCAGCACACGGAATCTAGTACAACACTTCAATACAACTAACAAAATACATCAACACTTGATACAACTAAAAAATATATAAACAAAACAATAAATCAGCTCACGAGAGAGAACTATTACAAACTACACAAACTAACAACAATAGAACTACGGAGGAGAAAGTTCGAAGATATAAACAGGTGAAGGCATACGTGTGATGACCGGCAGCGTTGAGTCCCCGACGATCGGATGCGAGAAGTCGAAGAGAGTTCTGACACGACTGCGATGTCGGCGGTGTTGCAACGCTGGTGGCTCCGGGAGGCTAGTGCTTGCAGGTGACTTCGGGCAGGTTGAGCTAACTCGAGGCGAAGTCCCGATGTCTACGTTTCAGACGTTAATATCGCGTCACAACTAGACGAACGGCTAAGCTTAGGTGGCCAGCCGATACAGAGCCACACTAAAAACTTCTAGAAGTTTGTGGATCTTGAGGAGCTTGCGGATCTGTTTCTACACCATGTTGGTCAGCGACTAGTCTGCCTAGCAGGGCAAAATCCTGCGCTTAAATCTCTCTCGTGTCTCCTCGCTCTCTTCCTTGGGGACAAGAGACCTCTACATGGGTCCAATCATGCGCGTTTCATTGATGGAAACTCCGCCCCAAAAATATATTGGCCCCACCCCTTTTTAATTGGGAGAGGGCCCTCAACTAGCGAGAATGACAGCCTGTTGGGATGTTGTCATACGGCTTGGCCATCAGAGGTTTTCCCACGGTTTCCCCCGTGGGAAACGGTTGTCAGACTGTTTGGCTCTCAGCCGGTGCGTCCCGTAGTCTAATCCTTGTTCGGGGTACATCGCGGCCTTCCACGACCTTACAGACGCCGCCGCAGTCACAAAAGGATCAAACGTCGGCGGCGACGTTCCAAGAAGAGCACCCCATTCTGCACTTCTCGGCTCTCTTTTATGCGCCCGCCGTTCCCACGGTCAGTGGGGGAGTACGGCGTCCGTTAATTGCCGTGACGCGGGGCCGCCAAAAATGGCTGTCCGTGACAACATGTTTGTTGCGGAACTATCGCTCTCGGACATTATATGCCATTAAATCTTGCCGAGCGACAGTTTGAAGGCATTTATTAGGTACATGAGACTTCAAATACGTTGGAAGAGTCCCATTTAACAGGTATTATTTGCATATATGCAAGTAAGTGCATTAGATTTCACACGTGAATAAGGAAGTTACAACACAATGAACTCTTCTGGACATGTTTAACAGTGCGCACATAGCTCATGTAGCCAAACAATAAAATATGTAATACATTTTGATTCCATATACCATGTGCACCAAAGCCTGTGACTATATGTCTGGCAACCTATTATTATTGTACAAAACCCCAACGTTAGTCTGTTTTGGATATTCTGAGATATCTCCGTGCTGTGTGACTGTAATAAAAGGGGGAAAAAAAAACAGGTGACTGCCAACTATGTGAAAGCATCTTTTTCATCCAAAGCTGCTTCACTACATTAGAACACAGAACCACCAGTCATGCAGTTTGCACTCATCCAATTTTAACCCAGTGGTGAATACAGTGCATTTATAGTCATTCAGGAAAAAAAAAAGAACCTCAAATCACATATTGAATTGAAATCACAATGTCCGCAAGGTCATTGAAGGCGTACGGAGAGGATTCGGCGACACGGACATTTAGGCATTCATGGGGAGGGGGGGGGGGTAGGTTACAACCCCCAAATCCCCCTGTCGGTGCGCCAATGTTGTGGTGAAGTTCCGCCACATATGAGCGATGTTCCGGATGAGATGGGACTGAATGGCCGACAAGTAGGCCAATAGGGTGTAGCGGAAGGAAACGGGCATTCATCGAGGGTCTTGTCTTCCATTTTTTTAGGTTTATTATGCAGTAGCCCACGTTTGATCTTGAGTTACACGCTTGAAGTCTTTCGTCGAAAGGGTCGATCAGCTCCTCGCCGCAAACCATCGATAGAGAAACTCTGCTTCGATGTTTGGGCAGCTACTCCGTCTTCTGCATTTAAGGTTTTCAAATCGTGGTGTATTATTCCTAGAGGGAGAGAAAGCCTTGTCGTTGAGGTAAACGGCATGCGTGTCCCTCGCCGTTCTATGAAGTCGTCGCCCCGTTGATTGCGGTCGTCTGTCCATGGTAGTACTACGCATTGTCGGTCGAAAGACTGCTTAGTTGTCTTCCTACCCTGTTGAAGGTTTCGGTTAAAGAGACTTTCGCTGGAGTCAGTTGTGGTCACGGAGTGATGCTTCGAGCTCATAAATCCTTGCTCTTGGCTGACGTCGGCCAACGCCGATCTTCGCAGCCACCAGTCGAGCCCTCTTCGCCCGTGACGTGAAGCGAGAGTAGAAGACCTGTGCGCCGTGCGCAAAAAGGAAGGCTTGCCCGCACGTGGGTTTTCGCCACTGAATTAGGTGGGTACTAGAACGTTAACTAGCGCGGAGAAACTCAGCTAGAAGACATCGTTGCGGTCACTGAACACGATCATTGCCTTTCGCTGGCTGGCTGCGTTTATCATATTTTCAACACTCTCTGCCCTACGTTTAGCCATACACAATTTGCAACACTGTCAAATGGGTTGCAGAAATAAGCGTTATTTTCTTATTCTCAAACTTGCATCCCCCCCTCCACGAAAACGTGGACCGCCCTACACCCCGTTCTGGCAGTTCTGCCATGCAACCCCTCTGTTCTTTACGCATTCCTCATCAGCTCCTTGCTTCCTCTCCTTCTTGTCCAGAAAGTACGACAACCCCCAAAGGCATCAGTATTTCAGATACCACTGAATCAAAATTTCTTCACCAAAATGGGTGTGTCTATACGTTAGTCTGTACGAAGCACATTTCTCTAGCGCAGTTGACTACATTTAAAAAGAATTAATGCTGATTACAGTTACGTTTTATATTAGTTAAATTTACATGATCGATCAAAATAATTTATACGCAGTGGTAGACCTCGGCCAGAATTTTATTAATATGGAAAGCGGACAATTATTCCCTTTTATGTACACTGACAAGGCCAAAAAAGATTTTTTAGCCAATTAAATTTTCTAATAGCAATTGTTAGGTTTTCATAGTATAAACCCACAACTTTCATAAAATCAACAACCCATAATTTCTATTATTGCATATCTAATCACCACTGTAAGCCTTACAATGGTGTGATTAAAATTACCGATGTGAAGAAAGAGAAACGCGTCCAAACAACATAACAGAACTTCCAGTGACTTTGTTTCCCTCCTGAGATTGTGTAAATTTAGCCTATTATTGACAACCTGTTTGCTCATCAACCCATTACTGCCCAATTTTATCACTACCTGACAATAACAACACAGATAAATCCAGAAGAGCTCACTTACCAGCTTTGCGCCGCACCAGCAATCGCCAGGTTGCAGTAGTGACCCGGCGATAATATTTATGTGAAATGTAGAAGGATTGGGATTTTCAATGACATATAAGTCAAACATATAAAACTAGGAGATTAGCTGCTGCATTGGTTGGAAAACTGACAGAAACTGTGTTTGTGCCACCTTTCTCAGACTGCAATGCACAATTTGCATTTTATGCTCCATTGCAGAGGACTAACATGGTCTTTTTGTTATGGATAGTTGTGGGTACTTGCGATTAACTGTACTGAGAGTGTACTACATTGTACGGTTTTTGTTCCAGAATGTCCCACTCGTGGTGCACATTATGACCCACATCTACCTTTATCTCTCGATTACAGAAATGCTGAGGTGTGCAATACTGAAGCTTTAGACATTTGAAGCATTCATCTTCCACTGTCACATGAAATGCTGTTTGCTTTTAGTGTCTATCTAAGAACACATTTTTACCAGTACACTTAACTGAAAATTGCGCCACACCGTAACAATGCAATAGCTCACTTTCAGAGGACAACACTGCATTGCACAAATAAAAAAACATCATGCAGCACTTTATTAGCCAAATTGTTCAGAGGCACCAGTGCAAAGCACTGCGGTAGCATTCACAACACATTGGAGTGGCTGCGCTCTCTGTGTCGAGCAAGCTGTGCAGGGCGCAGGAACGACCGTGGACATTCGTCGCACTTCCACCGCTTGGTCTTCGAGTGACTCTGAAGATGGTCAGCCAGATAGCCACGTGCCAGAAAGGTGGCTGGGCAGAGGTGGCAGTGGAATGGCTTGTGACCCTGGTGCTTCAGCAGGTGCGTGCGCAGGTCCCGCAACGTGACAAAGCTCTTCGTGCACAGGTGGCACTTATGCCGCTCCTTTGCTGCATGGCAGAAATCATAAGACACTTGGCTGTATAGTAAACTCAGTAAACGAACATTTCTTAAACGAAAGAGCTGCTTAATTGTATCATGGTGTGAGACCAGGCTAGTTAGCAATCGACAACACGAATTTCTGGAATGAAAAATTTTGCAGACTACACCAGCTAACGATCATCAGCCTGCCTATGCCTGCTGCAAAGATGTTGTTAGTCAGCGCTGCTAGTTCGCGCTGTCTTTCTGTTCCTTGCGTCTTTATGCTGTCTTTTCAAAATGAGTACACACAGCAGTCAGGCTACTTGTGCATCACCAACAGAGCGACTGCGTGGAGTGGCTGGGGAAATGTCACATCTTGTGCGAGCACATGACGTGAAGCTCATACCCCTGTTGCATGTCGCAAGTTAAGTGCATTTTGAGCGAGTGTATTTACGCTCACAAAGTGTCATTTTGGCAGTTCGCTGCAACACGAGGAAGCGAAGTGTACTTTAGAAATAATGGCAATGGCAATTTCATTTAATAGCGATGGCAATGGCAATCTCACCAGTATCGAGAAGTTCAAGTACCTGAAGACGTGCAAGCCATTGAAGGGATACGCCTTACAGCATTGATGATTGATTTGTGGGGTTTAACGTCCCAAAACCACCATATGATTATGAGATGCGCCGTAGTGGAGGGCTCCGGAAATTTTGACCACCTGGGGTTCTTTAACGTGCACCCAAATCCGAGTACACGGGCCTACAACATTTCCGCCTCCATCGGAAATGCATCCGCCGCAGCCGGGATTTGAACCCGCGACCTGCGGGTCAGCAGCCGAGTACCTTAGCCACTAGACCACCGCGGAAGGCTACGCCTTACAGCAGCGAACTACAACATCGCCGTCAAGGTGCTCACCAAAAGGTTTGGCCAAAAAGACCTCCTCATTGACGACCACAGTTACAGCTTCCTTGCAATCGAAGCAATTGAGACACTGTCGCAAGTATCAAGGCTGTGGGACCTCTACGAGCAAATACAGTTCAGGACCGGGTGTTCGGAAGGCATTGGTATGCCGTCTTCAGAGTACACGGTTGTTTTGCACCGGGTTCTGATGCGCTCATTGCCAGAATACCTCGCGATCCTGTATCGAAAGTGCATGAAAACTGAGACAGATGCCGCGGACTTTGTAGTGCATACTGAAGCTTTAGCGCACACACACAAGGACAAATACGATAGAGACTGCGCTGGTCCCTGTGTCTCTACCGTATTTGTCCTCATGTGTGTGGGCTAAAGCTTCAGTATGCAACAAAACGCACTAGCCCGCCTTTCTGTATTTCTGTAGTCCAGTCGAGAGACGAGCAAGTGAAAGGAATACTGAAGTTCTTTCAAGCTGAAGTCGAAAGTAGAGAGGAGAGTCGAGCGTCATGCGAGAAAAGGACTTCAGGAAGAATGTCAAAGAACTGCAAGGCTGCGGTCACAGTGATACCACCTCATTTACCGTCTACCCTAGCACTAACAGCACGGTAATCATCGCCAGGTGCCCATCTAAAGCCCGGGACAGACAATATGGCCCCTCTGAGGCAACTCAGGAAACGTCCCACGTGATTTCCAGGTTGTGCTATCCGCAGAAAAAAAGCGCAAACGTCTTTCAAGTAACAGCAGCTGCTCCAGGTGCGGGAAGCAAGGACACATTGCTCGCAGCTGCCGAACCACAGTCTCCCTTAAGGGGGGACATGGTTCTTTGGGCTCTCTCATTTAGTTTTGAACCAAATGTGACAAAAGTTGGCATGCTTACTTAGTTTGTTCTCCATATTCTAAAAATGTAGTTATTTTTTCTGTAGCTTCATTAGTTAACTAAACAATCAAGATAACAATTTCTATTGTTCTTACCATAATAGAAAAATAACCACTTGTCAAAAATTTATAAATATCATAGGGATTGACAGTACAAAGCATAAGACATGCAACATAAGAAGCACTTTTTTGAATGGGTCATTATTTCTTACTTTACAGTACACTGAACTTCACAGCCCTGAATGTGGCCATTGAGTGGTCACACAAAAGACTAGTTTGACAAACTTGCATCAAGAGAAATCAAAATCTGCTTCCTATGTTGTGTGCTCCAAACATATAGCTTCATGCTGCAGAATAGGATATTCTGCTATCTAAAATAGCTTCAGATATATTGCAGTAATTTTCATGCAGGGTGTACAAAATTGCCAATTTGAGAAAATGATGAAAACAAAGAATTCTAACATTTCTAACTGTAAAAATGTATGCACTTATAATTACATAGCCATTGACATATAAATGAATACTAGAAAGCCTAAGGAGTGCAATGCTACAAGCTGATCGAAAATTGAATGAGTACTTCTCAAATTACAGCACAGTAAGGTTCATTGCATGTAACCAAATACAGAAATTTTTATATTAAAATAAAAAATGAAGCTGCCCATTAAAGATAGGCCTCCAGCATTGTCCTTTGTGCACATTTAGCTACCTTGTGAAAAACAATTACAGCTACAGCTGTCCTAGGTCCACTTTTACCGAACAAGCAAAAGAAAGTGGTCAAAATCTGTGCTTTGAGAATAATGCTGTTGAAACTTAATTTCGCCCTTCCGAGGGAAAAATATCATGGCACACATACTTTTAGTCAGTTAATATGCACCAGGAATGTAATAGGACTGATTGTTTGTACGAGCATGTCGTTTCTTCTAGTCCTGTAGCAAGTTATCGCTGTGTCCTCGTCTGCCGCGAGGCCGCTTATCAGTTCGGTGACTGTACTGACGGTGATGTGCGACAAATGCTCGTGCGTCATACACGATCCGTCGAATAACGCGGCAATGTTTTCCGGCTTGTCCAGAATAAGTTACTCGTAAGTGTCGCGAACCAAAGTTGTTCCCTCGCTCATTGATTTCGAGGCTACACGAGTGCCAAGGTGTTAGTTTCCTTTTCACCTGAGACTGCCGCATTTTCGAGCGAAGATCGCGACAACGTTGCGAACACGTCGTTAAATGCAGTCTATCTGTTGCCAGTAGCCTCCGTTGCAGGGGCCGCGAGCATGTTCACTGCGAACGGATTGACTTTCTGTTGTTGGTCGACGCGCGGCGTACTCCACTCTGACGACCCGTCGCGCAGTTCAAAGTCCTTTCGTCAGGTGGGGGGGAACCACAACATCGGCGGGTTTAGCAATAAGACCGCACTTCCGTTCCGTCACTACAAAGATTGATATCTCTGGTAGCTTCACTTCTGCTTTTTACTTGCCGTCCTCTAACTGATGAGGCTGCAAAACACAGCCGTTCTCAGTAATGTTGTCGGCAACCAACGGGCTCGTACATGAGTTAGGCCTACACCAGTGACTCAGCGACCGCCATTGACCGCGTCGAGTTCGTTATCCTCGTTGTCCTGAGCCATAGCAGGGATCTTTCTGAAGTTCACAGCGAACGATTGACCGCCACACCCGCTTCACAAATTACTGTAGCACGAAACTTCTTTACTGCCGCAAGCAGTCAGTAGCATGACAAAATGGCGCATGTCCGTGCGCGTCATGATGGTGAAGCAGACGCCGAAAACGCCCCTTGGCCAATCGGATGGCTAAATTTAATCACGTGCCCCAAGCAGCCAATTGAATCGCGCACTAGTGCTTCTCGATGACCCGTTTTTGCGAAAAAACCAATGAGCAAGGTGAGCCAGCAGTAGCGGGAAATCGAAGATGAAGAACGACCCTTCCAAATGTGACGTCCCCGCAAACACGGACTGAACTCCGGTCTTTTTAAGATGTTTACGCTTGTTTCTTAAACCACACATTAAAAAAAAAAGGAAAAGAAAACCTTCGGTGTAACAAATGGGTATTCCGGAGTGGAGTACCTGGAAGGATTATTTCTACTGTTCTCGCGGCCCCCCCCCCTCCCCCGCGCAAACACGAGGACCGGGCGGCGCCTTGTTGTCTACAGACAGTGTGACAGTGTACGGTGGCAATAATCCGCGCACCCTTCAGATTTGTGGCATGGGGGAGCAGCAGAGTATCTTTTGTTGGTTCGGGAAATGCGACCCTGCCGCAGCGCCTGTGCCGGGTCCGGTTTGACTTTCCGTCAGTCTCCGTGGCTCCAGGGCTCATTACTGCGTTCTGCGCGGATGGCCACCCGCGGCGTTGAATAACGAAGAAGCGGCAACTACGGAGAATTTCGCGGGAGACACCGAGCTGCATGGAAACTTTGAGACTTAGTCTGGACATCGGCTCATCAAGTACCAGAAACCGGGGCAATTGGTTCGGCCGAAAACTTTTCGGCACAACACTGCAAACTCCGGACGTTGGCCATTACAGACGACGCACTTTGTCGGAAGCATCGGGACCATTGTTCGCCCGTAATTAAAGTGTCTTGGGACAGCTCGCCCATCTCTCTCTCTGAGGCTTGAGTTTGTACATTGTTACTTGCTCGGCTTTGTTTGGGAGAGGGTTTTCTACTGGTGTGGGCCGCGGGGGCGGCCGTCGAAGATGATACACTCCGACTGACAGAGAAATGTGTCGTGTCAACAGTGGCAATTGGTTAGGTGCCACGGAGGGGCGGAGTCGGGTCCTACAAAAAAAGACTACGAGACGATACGAGGAGAGTCAGAGAGATACAGGATGCGATGAGCTCGAGATGGTAGAGAGACAGAATGGAAAAGGAAGATAACGGTGCGAAGAGATAGCGATGAGAGGCGATGAGATGATGACTGGGGCAAGGACGGTACGATGAGGAATGAAAGTTAGGCATAGGAGGCGAGTGAATGGAGCATTACGAAAGAGGGCTAAAGATGGAAATCATTGAGAGGCACGACGTAGGCGACGATGACGAAGACGATGAAGACGCTGACGAATTGGACAGATCAGACCTCGACACTAAGAACCAATTTTCGGCCCCGAATCGAGCAGCCAACTCCGAGGCTCCGGCTACATGGACATTCTGTGAGATAAACTTCATCTCCCTTACTTAAACGAGCTTTGCGGGAAGGGATGCGGCATATTGAGACATTGCGCGGTTTTATTAAT